TACGAGAGAGAGAGAGAGAGAGAGAGAGAGTCGAGCGCAAATTTTCCATAATTATGGATCTGCTCGGAAAGTGACTCTTTGCGGAGTGTAAAATTCCAGATTCGGGTCCGAAAGTGGAGCGAAACTTACGATAAACGGTCAAGATCGGCCAATTAAGCAATTAGAAAGGCCTTAAATTTTGGAAAGGGAATTTGGAGGGTAGTTTCGAAAAACGACTAGTTCCGTTGTTCGCGAGGAAGAAGAAGAAAATCGGTTGCCTCGAGTCCGTAAATATTTTCGCGCGTGGAAAAAACGAGAAACGTAAGTCGCGCAATTCTTACTCTTTCCTCGCTCGATCGAGAGGGATTAACCTGGAAGAATCGCAACTAGGTAGCTAGGAGGGAGGACGAGCTTTTAGAGAGAGTCTGAAATCCGACGAGTATAAATAAATTTTCGAGCGCGACATTAAGTTTAATCGACGCGACGGATATTGAAAATCTTTACTTACCGGCGCCAACTCGAATTCGTTAAGAACGAATTCCATTCCATCCCGAGAATTCAATTCATCCGTTTTTGAAAAATTTTTCGGAAAAAAAAAAGAAGAAAAGAAAAGTTAACGATGAAAAGGTAGAAATATATGCGTATGGAAGGGGAGAGAAATCGCGGTCGTTGGGGATAAAAAAAGAAAAAAAAGAAATAAGAAGAAGACGAAGACGAAGACAAAGGTAGGAGTTGAGGAGTTAAAGACAGGGGTATCGAAGGGAGAGTCGTCGTCGAAAGATCGGATACGTTGGAAATAGGAGAGGAGATGGATGGGGCGCGAGGGGCGAGGCTAGGGTTGGCTAGTCTGGGCGAGGTGAGGCGAAGCTTGATAGGGTGGGTCGTGGGGATAGCGTGAAACGTGGCGGACGATTTGAGAGGGCCGGCGGCCGGCTGACGCTGAACCCAAGGGCTGAACCGGTGGAGTGGGGGGCGCGAAAAGCGTCGCGACGCTCCTCGGTGGCGGCACGAACTAAAAGTCCGGGCGGCACGACGCGCCAGTATTCAGCCCGCGACCATCGCGAGTGTACGCGTAGTGTTTCGCCTCGCCCTCGCCTCGTCTCGTTTCGCCTCGCCTCCCTTTTTCGTTCCCGATTCGTTCCAAAAGTGAATTTTTCTATCGAGCGTATACGAGTGTACACGTATCCCGGTGAGAAGAGCGAATTCATCCGTCCTCCCTCCGATCTTTCCTCCGATTCTTATCCTCCCTTCCCTGCCCTCTTCTTCTATCTTCTTTATTTATACACCGACCGACGCAAACCGACACACGTTGCTCTATCCAACGTTGCTCGTGAAAACAATTCGACCCCTCGTTAATCTTCCCCCTCGTTTTTCTTCGCATATTCGTCTAACAACAGGTAAAAAGAGGGGAGAGGGGGGGAGGGGGGGGGAGGGAGGGAGGGAGAGGAAGAACGACAGGAATCTTCGATCTTCCGCCCGATCTCGTGCAACGTTCAAACGCGTTTCGAACGCGTTCGAATCGATCTCGTCCCAATTTCTTGCATCTTTTCTACGCCCGATATCGATCGAAAGCTCGACGCTCGTTTATCAATATCGTAACGTAAGTAGCGTTATCCCGATTTTCATCCTTTTCTCTCTCCGTATATGTATCTCCGTATATATATATTTTCCTCGCGTTCTTTTTTTTTTTTTTTTCTTTCTTTCTTAAATCGATCGAAGACACGTAGATTGTTATTTTGCCCGAGTAAATTGTGTTTCTTTCTTTTTTTTAAATATTTTCGGGAAGAGGAAAAAAGGGGTAAAATCGTTTGGTCGATTCGATCGGCACCATCGAATATCCAGGGAGATATCGTTATAATATTTTGACGCGATACGACGCGAAAAGTGGCGCGTTACGATCACCGAGGCGGTGAATTTTTATTTTTCACGTTTTCGCATTTATCGAAATCGAAGAAGTCGCGAGGAGAGGTATACGTACGTGACTGCGTGATGGGGATACATCGCCGCCGGATACCATCCATATATACCCTTGCCGTGATTTCATCCTCCCGCACGTCCAATCTTATTCGACGTTTTGAATCGTTGCGTTACCCGGGATCGGGTAACAGGACCGCCGTTGCGGCTTAACGAGTTCAACGAGTTTTTCTCTCGGTCCACACCGTTCGGTAATTGGGGATCTGGTGGCGCGCGAAATTTCCACCGATACGATACTTTTATCGACGAATTAATTCGTATTGATTCGCTGTGGCGGAGAACAACGCGGGGAAAAACAAAAAAAAAGAAAGGAGGAGAGGGGAAAAAAAGAAGGAAAAAAAAAAAAACCCTACGTGTTTTTTCGCCACACGAGCCGATGACATCGACGAGTGTTTTCGAGATATATTCGAGAACACGCTGGTTATACCCGGGGTGAGAGTAAGAGAGTTGCCACTCGTTTTCGTTACGTCGTAAACAATGGGCGTGATTGCGTACGTGTTCCACTCGTGTTCGTACTCGACCCTTCGCCTTATCGACGTTACGACGAATTTAACGAACGAAAATGGCGAAGCTGTTTAAATTCGCACGATGATCGTAAGAAGAACACGGAAGCGATGAAACACGGAATTCTAGATGGCGTGTGAGTTTCGCGTGTTAATAAATAAACGATATTAACGAGTATTCGGAAGTAGTTGGAATAATAACAAATCGAATACAATCCTCGAAACTTTTTAGTCTCTTCTACCGATTTTTATTCGCTAACTTCACTTCATAAATACGAGTGAAAAAAAAAAAGAAAATTTTTCCCTCTTCGATCTCTCGATAAATTTAATAGTTTGAACAATTTATATATACACACACACACATATATATATATATATATATATATGTATATAAATAACTCGAGTTTTCTTTTACAAATAAAAACGTTCGAATTCAAAGACGAATCGTCGAGTTTATAGCGTGTTTCGAGCAAATCGGTTAAAAAATTTACCACCGCTCTTTTCGCTTTCCCACATTTTTTCCACATCGTTCGTCTCGCTTTGCTTTTAATTATTAATTAAGATTAACGCACACTGTGTGCGAACAATTTACCATTACCAAGTATTACGAAAGGTGTTGTCGCGAGTTAAAAAAAAAAAAAAAACGTCTACTTTCCATTAAACAAATTACTTCCCCCTGCCCCTCCCTCCTCCCATCCGCGCAAATATTTAAATTATCCACCTTGGAACGAAATACGAAGGAAGGTAAGGGTTCGGTCCGTTTAATTTTCGATGAAAAATTTAATCGTTGATTAAATGATTTCGTCGAAATTCCGCCCGATCAATCGCGTTAATCCTCCACTTTTTCTGAATCTTACACAAGGAGATGGGGCACGAATGAGATTATTCGTGAAAAATGGATACAGATCGGTTATAACCAAGGAATGGTTACGCACGACAAGATGGCGAATTTCGGCACAAATCGTTAGATCAGACTGGATGAAAATCCCTTTTCCCTGAGAACGCGCAACGTTTGCTACGAGGCGACGAGCAGTAGTCCCCTGTGGGCCGGTGGCCGTATTAGCAAATTCGATTCGATGCGGTAACTTGCACCGTTGCTCCAACCGTTGCGTTTGATAAACTTTTTTCCATCGAATCGAGGAGGAGAGGAAATATCATCGCGTGTGTCAAATTTTAATACGCGTAATACGAGAGAATTCGTGGGAGGGGGGGGGGGAAGGAGGGAAAGAAGAATATGGAGAGAAGAATATTTCGCGTGTACGGAATTATCGGTGAACGCGACGAGGACTCTGTCGGTCGGCGACAAATCATCGCGAGGGAAAGGAACTCGTGTTCCCGGTGACTCCGAACTAGTCGCTTTCTCGTTTTCCAAAGATCGGAAACTTTCTCGAGAATCCGGTAAATTCATTGATTCCTCTACTTTCCAACGAATCCATTCTCTCCGAGTGCCAAGTTTTAAAACTGTTGTAAAACTCGATCGAAAGGAGTGAATGACTCGATTCGACGGGGCGATTCGAATCATCGCGAAACATCGCGTAGTTTAAAATATCATGGTCGAGTCGAAAGAAAGGAAAGGAAAAGAAAAGAAGAGGAATGGAGCGTCCGAACGATTATCCGAAACGAAGTGACGATAACGGATAAAAATTGAACCCGTTCGTTAATCGTATTTGACGGTGTAATCGCGTACGTACGTGGATAATAAGCGTATTCGAGGATTGGGACACGGTGGAAAAAAAGCGAAACGATACGGTGAACGTCGTTTAAAGGTGGGATAGGTGGACGAAGTTGGACGGAGGTTCATGCGATTAATCACTTAGCAGTTTTATTCAATTATGCGTTGCTGGTGGCCAGGGTCCAGGATGAGGGGGCGGGTACTGGGAGGATTTAGGGTGAGAATGGCGCGGGTCGAAAGGAAAGTTGGAGCGGAGAAAAGGAAGAAGAGGAGGAACGGAAGCCTTGCTAGTGGTATTTGATTTGTAAGCGAAGGCACAACACCGGCGTTACAGTTGCGCTATAAGGTTGCACGACGAGAGAGAGAGAGAGAGACGCGTTCCTCACCGTGTTCATCAATCATCGGCGATAAAATCCATGGAAAAAGTCGATGTTGCCTTTTCAATATGCCAACGGCGCATATATTCGTATCGCGTATCCGAGAAAGAAAGTCGATAAGGAAACGGGAGGGAAGAACGACGAGAGAAGAAGGAAACGGCGATCTTTGTCCGAGCGGTTATCGGTCCGATAATTAGAATCGATATCGACGCGTTACGATCGAAAAGCCTTTTCCTTCGCCTTTTCTTTGTCCCACGTTTGCTCGTGTCCACAATTATTATTATTATTATCATCGTTATTATTTCCTATCCTAAATATTTGTTTTCACCGTTTCGAGGATAGAGTAAAGGGTGCGCGAGGTCGGTGATACAGGATACAGGATTAATGGTAAATGTCGTTTGTATTGCAGACTGGAAGAAGAATCGAAGAAGTGGAAGAAGAAGGAAGAAGAGTGAGTGTTGACGATGGTAATACCGATGTGAGAAAGGAGGAAAAGTGAGAATAAAAGAAGAATCGATAAGGGGGAGGAAGAGAGTGGGAGCGGAAATCTGGCGAAACGCGAGCGGGCGGGTGATATGAGTGAATACAGGATCTTTCGTGACGTTAAATGATCGAGTTACGGCTCGGTCGAAACGAATCCCGTCGATTAACCGGCACGCGATACCACGCCGGGGCAACGATTAAAACGCGTCCTTTCCCTTGCTGCGAGCGACCCCCCCTCCTCCCCCGGCCCCCTCCCCTTCCGCCCGGGATCGCGTGAAAAGTGAAACAATAGTTGAATACGAAAAGAAGGGAAAACAGTGTGTGTGTGTGTGTGTGCGCGCGCGCGCGGACCCCGAGCAGGAGGAAAGGAAAGTTGGAGGAAAAAGGAAGAGATGCGGTGTCACCTTCTTTTCCCCGTTGTCGTCGCTTTCTTCCGTCTCGTCCACGCTCAAGGTTAGTCCCACTGCTCATTCGTATTTCCCCTATTCATCGTCAATCTTCTCGCTTCCCCACCCCACCCCACCCCCACCCCCCCTCCCTCCCTCCCTCATCCATCCAAATCGTCTCCTTTCAAATTCTATTGTTTTCACCGATACTATTTTTTACTATTACGCATGTATATATATGTTAAGAAGCGATTTCGTTAATCCATCCCGCCAGTTTTACCGCTTTTACGTGTTATTCGTGCGCGATCGATCCCCACGATGTTTCGATGTTTCGATTTTCACCTATGCTCGCATTACCTTCCTCGAGAGCATTTTTATTCCCGCGTACACTCGTAAAACCCGATCGAAACCTACGCTTTTATACGTTTCGCGTGCGTACACGGTCACGTCACGGAAAGATAAAAACATTGACCGTCGACCGGAAGAATTTTTTTTTTTTTCAACTTGGATCGATACTCTTTCGAAACTCTTCCAGATTTTCCATTACTTATATGATGTTAGAAAATGGTGTAAAGCCATTTTTATTTTATGTATTTAATTATTTTTTGACGGTAATCAAAATTAATTTCGTTTTCAAAAATAAAATAACGAGGGGACACGCGTCGTCCCCTCTTTCGATCGAATATTAATTTATTAACTATGCGAAATTATTACTTTGAAAATAAACAAATGCTGTGAAATTGATTCGATATTATTATCACTCGATACTGCATTCGTCTATATGAATTGATATGTACGTGTAAGTACATACGCACACGTGTAAATACGTATCTACATCTATCGCATAATACGAATTAATAGAGTATTAATTCAAATTAAATTTCAACCTACTCGTATCTCCATACGTTTCGTTTCGATTTTGTCTTATACGTGCATATATATATATATGTATATAAAAATTTGTCCTATGTCCATCAAATTATTAACAGACATTATCTTGTTATACGATTTATCGAACATTTATCCTTTTCGTTTCCAATGACACGGGCAATGTTTTAATTACGTAAAATTATATATATAAAAAAAAAAAAAAATAGATATATTCTTCGAATAATAATTCATCTTTGTACAGAGATTCGACGAAATTCGATGATTTTTCTCGTATCAGATGGCACGCATCTATTGTTGTACGTGGAATCATCATTTATCATACTTCGACGATGCACTTGCTAAAAACAACAACATTATTTTTTCGCCTTTTTTTCTTCGTCGCTCGCTTCTTTTCCCTTCGTCCTCTTCCTCTTCTTCTTCTTCTTCTTCTTCTTCTTCTTCTTCTTTTTCTTCCTCTCCCCCCTTTTTTTACAAAAACTAAAACAAAGTTTCCGTGCCACTCAACGTGACGAGCAATAATGCGAGAAATTCTCTTTTTCTTATTCCCCGTTACACAGCCGAGAATTTAGTGCTCCAGTTAAAACGGAAGGACAGAAATAATTAACGACACGAATATTCTTTTAGCGATAGCAGCTTAAATACGTTTTCATTCGAATATGCATATCAGATTTTTGTCCTAAATAATAACAATGCTTTCCAATATCTGCGTAGAAACGACGCAGCGAGCTTCTTTTGTTTTTCTCGTGAAATGCTTCTTTTTTTTTTTTCTTTTTTTATTGAAATGATATTCGTAAATGGCAGATTCGTTTCGAATGTATATACATATATATATATATCTTTAGGAATCTTCATACTCGATTGAAATTAGCCCGTGTTATTATTTTTTTCGAAATACAGAGAAAAATATACAAAAAAACTCCATTCGTCGACGCACAACAATAGATCCTAAAATAATGAAATCCTTACCATCGTGTCGTATTTCTATCTCGTAAGATAGATTTCTCTCTCTCTCTCTCTCTTCTTTTTTCACTAATTATTTTTTCCATACTACGCGTACACGGGTGTATTTATCCGTATTTTAAATACTCGTAGACCGAATATCGAGTCTCTTAAAATATTTCATCGTTTAAAAGTGCACTTAAGATGAAATGTTTCGCTGTTCATTTTGAAACGCTTTTACTTCGCTGCTGTGCGTTAAACGATCAAGTATTAATTAAAAAAAAAAAGAAAAAAAAAAACGAAAAATAGACAACCGAAAAAAAACCGTTATAACAATAAACGCATGCTGTACGGTGGTTAACGATCGTTAAGATAATCGTGGCGATCGATTTTTGATACGGTTATAGAAGGAAATCGTCGATCATCTTAAATAGATAAAAAAATCTTCTCTGGAAAAAGGAAGAAAAATGAAGAGATACCGGTAGCGGTATCGGTTGTTCGACGTAGAATTGGCTTATAATACGTGTATCGAAATATATAGAAGTCGAAACGTTGATTAAAACGATACGCGTGAATCATTGAAACACGTTGATCGAATGCTGTATGAATAATACATCAACCGATAATTCATTTTAAAGAAAACAACTCGTCATGCTTTATCGTGCTTTATCGCTCGTGTATCCGTTCTTTTTTCCTCCCTCTCTCTTTCTCTCTAAAAAATAAAAATATCTCTTTGTGAAGTTTTTTTCCATCTATAAATTTGAACAGAGTCACACCGTTCCTTATTTCACCATTCATTTTTACTCTATATACGTACACGTTCATATATATATATGTGTGTGTGTGTGTGTGTGTGTGTGTGTGTGTGTGTGTATATAGAGTGACAAACTGTTGCACGTGACAAAGGAAAGGTGTAAATGATTAACTAAATATATATTTTATACAAAAGGTAGCAATGAAACGATGCTATTCGCGCTTTTCTCTCGTGCGTTTTAACTCTAGCTTCCCGACTGGCAAAAGAAAAAAAAAAAAAAAAGAAGAGAAAACAAGAAAAAAAACGTTGTCGTAAATCTCCATGAATGAAAAATATTAATGATCTTCGTTACGAAATGATCCTTTGCGACGAAACGAATGAATTCTTAATACAACAAATAACGCGTTACTTTTCTTATTTTTCGCGCGTGTACGTGTTTTCGTTCGCATTTTGTCGTTTGCATGGATGAAAGAGGCGAAGGAGTAGCTGGCGACGCCTATTCTTCTTCCGGATGACTGGACGGAGATGCGACCCTAGGCTTGTTGCGCGTCGCGAGGCCCTTACGCCGGTGCAATCGAATCGGGGTCGCACGCGTGTTTGCATCGACGAGTACGCACGCACGCACGCACGCACGCACGTACATCCAAGTTTTACAAGCATCGAGGCGTGGTCCACGAATTACTACGTGTCCCTAGTTTTCTACCGTCGCCGTACCTTTTTTTTTTTTTTTCTTCTTTTTTCTCTCCACGCACCCTCTTCTTCTTTCGTACACCCCAATGGATCGTACAGTTTACGGTTCCCATATGGCCGTGGATAACGTTCCTACCTTCGTATATGTACACGTGGAAACAGGTTTTATTGAAGTTGTCGAGAGCTTTCCGATGCTTCTTCAGCCTGATGACATGGCTTTGAACAATACTACCATATTCAACGTTGCATTCTCCTATCTTTATTTATTTTTCTTTCTTTCTTTCTTCCTTTTTTCTTCTCTTTTTTTTTCTTTTTTTCACAAAACTAACTCTATCCTCGACTCTATATTTGCTCCGAAAATGAAAATGAAAAGATATACATCATCTGGTTTACCATCTACCGCGAAAAATAAACTATTTGAGTGAGGAATTTAAAAATTCTTTAAATTTTATATTACATCATGCGCGTGTTTTTTACGCTGAAATGTAAACCTTTTTTTACTTGGACTTGTTCAAGTATTAACGAACGATAATAATCCCGTTTTCAACGGGATAATCGCGAGGATCGTTCGATTCTTAATTTTCTTGAATAACGCGACGAGACTAAAAATAAACCATGATAAAAACGTAACGTAGAGAAAACATGAGAGAGAGAGAGAGAGAGAGAGACAAGGTTGAAACGATTTTTCACAATACACCGTAGGATTATTATTCGACGATATTTTCGAGAAAGTAACACGTAGATGCGCGTGTATATACGCGTGTAGCGAGCTGGATCGCAAGCCCAATGCTGCAACATTTTTGTTTCGATGCTTTTAACGTTTGTGTCATTTTACTTTGAAAACAAGTTGTGCGCATCGTATTCGTGCCACCAAGTGGAATACATCGCGCTCAATCTACGAAAACGGTGTTCAACTAAAATTGACATTTAGCGCGATATCGTTGTATCTTTGTATTATTCCTCCGCTTAAATGTAAATTGATACGAGGCTAGGAGGTGGCGATTTTCGTAAATGTTGGGATACTCCGCGCTTTACAATAATAACATCCGATACGCGTCGATCGATACAGGCCATTCGATTAATTTGGATGACGCGTGGCGATCTTAATCGATCGCCATACTGTCACCTGTTATTCAATTCGCGACTCCCCTCGCTCTTAGATAACGCGATTTATTCTTCTTCTTCTTCTTCTTCTTCTTCTTCGATACCAGTTTTGGAATAAACAAAATGACTGCGATTCTATTAAACTTAACCCAATATTTCGCTCAGCATTTTATTTTCCCCTCTTACACCTGCTTGAGTTCTTTTTTGAGATTCTGAGACTGTGTTTCGAGAAATGCAGCCGAAGCGTATCGAAATACGAGATCACCTTTTCGGAGGAGATTCGATCGACGAGAGGAGCGGTGGTTTCAAAAATTCAGGAAATGTGGAAATGAGAATCTTTTCGGGGAAACGAGATGGGCCGAAATCCATGTCGAGCAAAGATAAATTGAAAGCCAAAGTGGAAGCTAATCCACGAACAAACACATCC